TTTTCTTTTTTCTTTTCTTTACTTTGACATATCTCATTCTGTTTTCCCCTGAAAATTTCTATTGAGAAATCCACCAAGAATTCTGCCATATGAGGATGCAAGAAACATGGAACAAGGTGTATTCATAGGATAGCCTTTTGGATATTCCATTTTAAGTCTCAAGCTTCTTTTCTCTTAGCTGTTTTAATATCTTCTTTTTGTCATTGACTTTTGATAATTTTATTATAAGGTGTTTTGGAGAAGATCACTTTTTAAAATTTTTCTTTATTTTTCATTATTATTGCATAGAACTAAAGTGTAGCACAGAAGTATGGGTAGTGAGAGGATTCACCAGAGACAGAGTGGGGAGCAGAACAGGTGGATTTACTGAAATACACTGCTGAGGGGAACAGCAAGCAGGCAAGAAAAGAGAGGTTTTCTGCACCATGTGGTCAGTTCCCTGGCTGGGAATTGAGCTCAGGTCATTGCAGTGATAATGCTGGGACTTAAAACTTACGCCACCAAGGAGTTCCTGGAGAAGATCTAAGTTTGTTTGATGATTTCTGAATTTCATGGAGTTGGATGGCCAAACTTCTCCCCATATTTGGGGGAATACTTAGCTATTATTTCTTTAAATAAGCTGTCTGTCCCCTCCTTCTCGTTCTGGGACTTCTACAGATTGTTTCTTTTGGTTGTATTCCCATAGAGCCTGTAGATTTTCTTCATTCTTTTCACATATTCTTCTCTTTGATCCATTTTAATATTGATATTGTCTATTGCATTCTTCATCTACTTTATAGTTATGTTTCACTTAATGACTTTTGGCCCATGATGGACATATTTACAATAATGGTCCCAACAGGTTTATCCCAAATAGCCTAGGTGTGTAGTAAGGTAGATCATCTAGATTCAGGTAATTACACTCTATATTCACACAATGATGAAATGCTCAAAAATGTATTTCTCAAGACATACTCTTGTCATTAACCAATGCATGACTGTATTCCTTGTTTTTCAGAATTTGTTTTGTTCTTTTTTTGTGACTTCCCTTTGTTAAACTTTAGTGTACTGTTTTCCTGATTTCATTGACTATTTTTCCTGTGGCTGCCAAGTGTCCTTAAAGAAGCCATTTTGATTTATCTGAAAGATCACAGATTTCCATGTCTTTGGCATCAGTTTGAACACATTGGAGAAAGTAAAAGGAACAATTTGACTTGTATCATCTGTCCTCTGGCTACTATAACTCAGTGCCAAAAGCCACTGTTTTTGAAGATTATTACAATTTTGCATGGTTGTTTTGTTTTTCTTTTACATTCCTTGAAGTCTTACATTGATATCTCTATATTTGAAGAAGCAGTCACCTTTGCTAGATTTTATTGACTGACTTTGGGAGAGAAACACTTTCCATCAATCCTCTAGTGATCCTGAAGCTTTTCTAGAACTTCTGTGGATATGCCTGCTCTTGCTTATTGCTTCTAGGTGCAACAGAATTCTTAAACCTATATATCTTTTCTCAATCTCACAACACATCAGGCCTAGGGCCGATAGCTTCCATTTTACTTTTTCAAGGGTAGTGCAGAATGCCCAAATGTGTAGCCTCTCTCTGGTAGCAGATTTAGGCTAGTTTTCTGCACATGCTCACTAGCTGTCTGCCAAAGCTTGGTCTTGACACCCTCAGAAGCACACACAGGAAACTGGCCACAGGATGGGGGTGTGTGTCAATGAAGCATGTGGAGTATTGGCAGTGTCTATGGACCAGTTGGGAGGACCCACAGGCAAAAGTGTCCCCAGCAACTTGTATGCAGGGTCTCAATGGAGTTTGTTATACAGCAGAATTCATTTACCTCTGTTACCTTCTAACAGACCTATCTGCTGTTTTCCCAGGCTCTTCCCAAGCTACCCACTATTATACAGATCATCACTCAGTATTATAGATGAGGCAAGGGAGAAATGGATCTCTTTGATAGACTCTAGCTCAACTGGGAAAGCTGACTGCCCACTCACAGGCCCTCACTTTATCCCATGTGAAAAATCAATAGCCAAAAAAAGTGGTTTTTGGCACTGAGTTATAGTAGCCAGGGGACAGACGATACAAGTCAAATTTTTCCTTTTACTTTCTCCATGTGTTCAAATTCTATTTTTCTCCTCCACTGGTAGGCTGGAACTTCGAAACCTAACTTCTCATTTGTGAGTGATTATCTCAGATGGAGCCGTTTAAGGGTCACTGCTGGGTCCACAACCAAACTGAAGTCTACTAGTCCACATGTGGGTGAATGAGGCTCACCTGGATCCCTTGACATAGTACTGGATCCTACAACTTACACAAAGGCACTTCTGTCTGTGGATAGATGCCAAGGTGTTGCTGGGGTAGAGAATGAGTGAGGAACATCTCAGGGCTTGTTGCTGATGTCATTGTACACATGTCTTTCTGTACCACATGCTATATCCCAGGGATTAAAATGAAGGCAGAGGCCCTCTCTTGTTGCTTAGGGTTTCAGTGTCAGTGCTAACACCACTAAGGCTTGAGTACTATCCCAAGGCTCCTCAGGAGCTAGGTAGGACAGTAGGTTGGGGGAAGATGTGGGCTGTACACAAATCTTACCTTCTGTTCCCCTGAACAGTATTGCATTTTGCAACTAATGGGTTTTAACCTACAGATGCTATACTTATTTTCTTGACTCCTTTCTTTTTCAAAGCTTATATTTTATCACATCATAATTCAGGGGTAAGTCATCTGAAGTATTCTTGAAATACTTTGCATATTTGCTGCTCTTCAGGCTTCATTTCTCTCATCAGGAATTCCTTCCTTTCTCTTCAGATTCAAACCACCCTGTCCTTCAACGTCCCAGCCAAGTGCCACCTCCTTTGTAAAGAGTTCTTGACATCCCTTTTCCTTCCACCCACCATTCATCTATGGATCCATTGTTGTCTCACCTTATCCTGAATTGAGAGAACTCTACTTGTCCTTTCTGTTATTTGGTATTTGGTCATGTATATAATTCTTGCTTTCACTTGTGGGCTGAATGTCTATTCCTAACCCCCAGAACCTGTGAATATGACATCATTTGGAAAAAGGGTCTTTGCAGATATAATTAAGATTTTTAGCTTATCCTGGACTACCTGGGTGGGTCCTAAATCCAAGTGACAAGTGTCCTTAAGAGATAGCAGATGAGAAGACAGAGAAACAAAAGGCTATGTGAAAATGGGACAGAAATTGGAGTGATACAATCACAAGTCACAGGACACAGGGAATCACATGCTGGAAGAGGAAGAACCTTTGGTGGGAATGCAGGCCTGCTGAAACCTTGACTTTTAAGTTCAGGCTTCACAAACTGTGAAAGAATTTCTGGTTTTACTTTACCAAATGTTTGCTATTATAGCAGTCACAATAAACAAAGACACTTCTCATCTACACCACCAGCTCTTTAAAAACAGAGGCAGTTGAGTCTTACCTTGTTGTATGGGTCTTTTCTCTCTTTTTTAGAAAGACAGCAAGGGGAAGAGAAAAGAACACTACAAATTGAGTCAAATGGACTAGGCGTTAGAATGGCCCATTCCTGAACTGGACCTGTCTCTGTTCTCTGAAGCGGGACAAGTGCCAGTTCCTCCACTGAGTGAGAGTGAGGAACCATGTGGAAATGGATGAGGGAACAGACACAAGGGAGCTCCCTTTACTCTCCCTTTCCTGTGTTTGCACAGCTCTCCCATGGCCTTGTTGCCCATTTGGGTCTTGTTGCTTCCCGAAGCGTTAGGATAAGGCCTCTCCCCATGGTGAGAACCTGGAATGGGTGATGATTCTGGGGCTAATGCTTGGAGAAGAGGCAAGTTCTAGATGGGAAATTATAACTGGGAAGATGGGCTTCCTGCAGCCTCTCAAGTCAGGATCTTGATGTTTCCCCAAACTGCCATATTCTTTCTTTTTTGCTTTAGGGCCAGAACATTTGCTCTGCTAACAGGTATGATGAGCCTCAGGTCTCAAAAGCAGCCTTCTCTGGCTAACTGGGCTACACCTAGACTCCTGTCATATTGCCCTTAGCCTGTACATCTTGCTCAATGTGCTGACTCATTTGATGTCAGACTCCACGGACAAGAATGCTTCTTCTTGCAGCAGTGCAGAGCACCCTACCCCAACCTCAGGTGAAAGAAGTGGACCCTTCTCACCTCTTACCCTCTGGTGAGAAGTTACCCTCCAGTGTTGTCTCCCACCCTGACTTTATTTAAGTCTCGCTCATACTGTCAGAAACCTATCATGACCAGGTCTACAAGTGATCAGTGCCCCCAACGCTTGCATGGTGGATGATCATCCCTCAAGATTATCCCAAGGGAGGGTGGCCTGTCTCAAGGACCAAGAGCTGAGGCTGTCACAGCTGCCTCTCCCTAGCGGGAGTCTCCTTTACTGGCATCTTTGGCTATGAGGATTTAGACTTGCTTTTGTTGAGGATGCCAACCAGTGGACTTCTTTATAACAGAATATGTCACATGAGAAATTACTATTTCAACAGAGCACACAGTGCAGAGATTGGTAAAATGTGGACTAGATCAGGTAAGAGCTATGGGGTGTATGTAGATGCCTTGTCAGCTGTAACTGTGTGCACAGGAAAGTTGAGTTAGGGGAGATGTTGAATATAAAGAAGACATTGGCTTGGAATCCTGGAAAAATTAATCCATGAATTGTAAAAAGAGACTCAGGTTGACTGAAAAATAGCAGGAAACTAGAGGTGCCATTCTAATCTGGATGAATCCAGCAGTTGAGGTGAGCGGGGCAGCAGGAATCTTTCGATCCCATAGAGGCACACAGGGTCACCAGCATTCAGGTTACCCCAACGGTGGGATCAAATTAAGCTTGTCTCAGAAGAGCCTCACGATACTATCTTCTGGAACACAGGTCTCTTCATGCAATCCATTTTGGAATCAGTCCCCCACCCATGTAAGTGGGACCTCCCAGGTTAACATCTGATAACACACAAATATCACCGGAACAAACTGCAGAGTAGGAGGCAATAAATGCTTAAGCCAGGAAGTCTGAGGTTATAATTTATATTCACTCTTATTTCTCCATCTTGGGATAGTTCAATCATCCTGTTTAATAAGGTGATTGGGGATACCCTTTCGCTCTTCTGCTCAGCTTCACAGAACTCCTCCCACCCACTGTCTTTAGCTGGGAACCCATCCTCTTCCCAGAGTCGACAGAGAAAGCAGTTCTAAGAGGTTCTCTGTCCCTCTGCCAAAAGCAAGGAAACCCTTTGGGCTGGGTGGGGTCGTGATTCCAGGAGATAACCAGACTGCCATTCCCCATCAGTTAGCAAAAAGGGAGTGAATGGGGGCTAGGCCTCTGGGATCCGATCTACACCAGTTTCTTAGCTTTAAAGAAGCCCTTGAGATGTTGCATCTGCCAGACACCAATGGCCACGAGGATGAGGGTCTGCACAATGGACCACCACAGAACCCGCTGGTTGGTGCTCTCGCTGGTCTGCCGGAAACGCTCCTCTCGCCACTGTAGGGGTAGGGGGAAGAATGGAGAAGATGCCTGGCTACAACTGAATGAACTCCCAGGGAAGGAGCTGGAAGAACTGCTTCCCAGGTGGTCACATATCCCATCCCGACTGTGCATCCTCACCCTCTGGTACTCCTGCTCTTTCTGGATCTGCCCCACTTGTTCCACCAGCTGCTGTACGCGCAGACGCAGCTGGGTCAGTTTGTCGTTGGCTGCAAATTCTGCATAATCGTTGGTGTGCTCACCCAGCTGCATGTCCAAGTGAATGGTCTAGGGGACACGTGAGCCAAGGTCAGGGGAGCTCAGCTCCATGCATCAGCCAGAAACACAACTTCCATACCCTCATGCCTGCTTGACACTGGCAAATCAGCTCCTCACACTCACTGATACAGGGACTGGTGGTCCTGCTTTGGGTACCAGAACACCAGATCAGAACCCTGCCTGTGTGCAGTTCCATGTTCAAAAGACAGAAGGATGGGACAATATGTGCACAGAAATAGAGGTATGTCTGAATGTTTGACGTGGGCAGTTTACTAAAAGTTCTGTGTTGCTGGGAGGTGGCCATGGAAAGCCCTGGGGGCACATAAGAGGGTAAACAGCTCTGAATTTCACATTTATTAAGTTTGGTCTTAACCTAGGGATAGCCAGAGCCAAAGGAAGATTTCAAGTTAGAGTAACTCCCTTCTGGGGGTGGGGGGGTCCTCATTCTTGGGAGCTGTTTTCTGCCCACTGGCTTCATGTGAAGCCATAGCCCTCCTCCATGGGTACCACCCACTGGGTCCTCCCACCTGAGGGAGGGAGGGTAGATGTCCCACCTGCCACACTCACCAGCTTGCCATCATAGAAAAGGGCGAACCGGATGGACTCCAGGTGAAGACAGATCTGGTGCTCTCCAGGAGACTGGGAAGTGAAGGTGAAGCTGCCCTGAGGGCCATACTGACGGGCCAGAAGGTTCTAGAGGAAGCAGCCACAAGTGATCACAGAGAAGCTAGCCAGGAACCTGCTTCCAGGAGAAGAATAATGGGGGTATCCCAGGTCCAGAACCCCCACAAGTCAGGTCAGAGGGGATGGTGTGGGGTGAAGTGGCATCAGTTTGGGCTGGAAAGGCTCAGATGACAGCATTGCCAATATGCAATTATCTACAGGTTGTGAAGAGGATGTTGCTCCTTGGGTTTGTCTACCTGTGAGGAGCCAGGCCCTGGGCTGAGAAATAGAGGCCTTGAGAGGATTTGCGAAGTATTGAAGCAAAAGCCTTGAGAGGATGCAGGGAATCAAGGCCAGCCTCACCTTGTTCTCCGGGTCCTTCACAAACACGAACAAATTGATCCATTGTGGGGAGGGCTGATACTTTTCCATAGCTGGATCATAGAGCTCTGTCTTGTACTTTCCTAATGAAAAGGCAGCCCAGATGATCCCCATTCACACTCATGACTAGAGGCCACCCCCGCACAGGACTTCCCAGAGTTATGGGGGTTAGGAGAGGAACAGGTAGGCCCAGAGGTCTAAATGACCAGGCAAATCACAGGCCTGCCTTTTTGACATCACATGAGTCCTTCGCACCCCAGCCCAGGCAGGGAAGAAGATGATCTGATCAGAGTGCTACCCACCAATTTTCCACCCTAACCCCCTCATCCCACCCCCCACATTATCTCTAGTTCCCCTCACTTTTATTCTCTCCTTCTCCTCTGCAGGGACTGGAGGTACAGATTTGAGCCTATCCCTCAGCATCCCAGACTCCACCCTATCTGCACTCCAGGTGTAAGGAGGACAACGCGTGGGTTAGCCGTGCACGCACCTATGACCACCGTGCCATCAGGGATCTCCTGGATGAAGCACTTCTCCTCCAGCTCGCGGACCTCGAGGTAGACTGCATCCCCACCGCCGATCAGCGCCAGCAGCTGCCCGAATAGCAGAGGCAGGATCAGCCAGGGCACTCGCGCTGGGCCCCATTCCCGCTCGCGGCCGGCCTGGGGCCCAGAGCCTCGCGCCCCGCAGGCCCCCGCCACTTTCCCGGGCAAGTGCCGCGGGCCTCTGAGCTGGGCCAGGGGGAGACAGCGATCTGCGTGGACTACAATTCCCGGGAGCCCGAGCGCGGCCCCGCCCCGTGCGTTCCCGCCGACCCACTCTGAGGCGGAGCCACTCGAGCACAGCCGGCGGCCCCACCCCACCAACCGTCCCCATCCTACCAGTCGCCCCCACCCCACCAGCCGTTCCGGAGCGCCTTCCCGGTCGCGTTTCTCTTTTATCCGCGCAGAAACTCCGAAAGATTTGCTGTCGGCTCCATCCATCTGATGGGTAACTGAGCCTGAGAAAGGGAAAAGGGTTTCTCTGCAACTTGCAGTGCAGCGACTGGAGATGACGCTGAGAGGGACAATCTAGACAGAAGAACCTGGGATTGTCTAGCAGCCCATAGGCCAGTGAAGGGTCCAGAGAAAGGGTATGGGAACTTGGTGTTGAGTGTGACCAGATATAACTGAGCTGACCCATTAAGGGGGCAGGAGGTGCCAGATCCATTTGTACATGTGGACCCTCTATCAATGTCCTTACCTCTGCTTTAGGGCCAAAATGAAGGGGTTGTGGGTGGGCATGGAGAGTGCAAGAAGAGGGCAGCAATAAAACTGGAAAAGCAAAGGGTACACAACTGAAGGTGTGGAGCTATATGACATGACCCAGGAAAAGCAAAGCGCGAGAATTCCAAAGTTTATGGTGCCCTGAGATAAGCAGTGTAGATTCAAACGCACAATATATAAAACTGTGGCCCTGCCTGGATGATACAATGAAATTCTCCACCTCCTGGTGCCTGGCGTTAATAGATGATTGTTAGTTTCTTCAACAACATTTAATAATGATGGTGACAATAATGCTTTTTATTTGTTTCAGGCACTATTCTGTTCATTTTAAGTGCATTAACTGGGCTAATCTCTTAGACACTCTCAGATAGATATTAATTTCATTACAATTTAACAGCTGGGAGGAAAGAGAAGTTGAGTGATAACTTGCACAAGGTCACCCGAGATGACAAGTGGCAGGTATTTTTTGTTCAACAAACTGGTTCAGGCCTTATGATCCACATTGACACAAAAGTGAATAAAATCTCTCTCCTAAACTCTAGAAGCCCATAGAAAAACAAAGGAGCAATATCAATACAGTGTTTTAGATTAATAATATACTTTTTAGCTCCCAGGAATTATCCTCTCGCTTTAGTACTGTGACCCTTTATTGACAAAAACCAATGCTTTAGAGAAAGGTTAATTAAGACAATATCCGAAAAGTATCTATTAGATTTGAGAGGTGGATGTTCACCACATCATTCCTGAAACTGGGAGGAAGCTGAGGTGCTGTCCATGGTCCTGAATAGTGATTGTCAGTACTACACTCTATAGTATAAAGGACTGGTTTTTGTTTTGTGTTTTAAAATATTTATTTATTTATGCATCAAGAACTGGGGTACAGTTCAGAGGTAGTTAGAGGATTCACCAGAGACAGAGTGGGGAGCAGAACATGCAGATCTACTGAAATACACTGCCAAGGGGAGCAGTGGGTGAGACAGAAGAGGTCTACTACACCCTTTAGGTCAGCTGCCTGGCAGAGGATGGATCTCTCATGCTGCAGTGGCCTGGTAGCATCATAGTGCTGAGATTTAACTCCTTGCACCAACAGAGAGGCCTGTTTTTTGTTTTTAATAAAATCTCCAATCCCTCAGCAACTTAATACTTTTGTAAAATACATTAAATCAATTTATTATGAGCCTTTATGCCACATAAGTGTTAAATTTCTGTAAAAGTTCCTAAATTCTGGGCCCTCCCTGGTGGTGCAGCAAGTTAAAGCACAGCACTAAGGAGCTAAAGCAACTTCAGCATGAGTTTGGTCCCCACCCTAGAGGTGATCCACATGGCGTGGCAGACCTCTCCTGACCTGCCCACTGCTCTCCTTAGCAGTGTACTTTATTAGTAGGCCTGTTCTGCCCCCCACTCTAACTCTGGTGAATCCTCTCACTACCTCTGCACCTCTAGCCTGTACTCCAGTTCTGTATGCATAAATAAATAAATGTTTTTTTTAAAGTTCCTAAATTCTTACTTTCAATTTCAATGTCATTTGGACCTTGAACAATCAGACCAGCACTGGCCTGCAGATCATACAGGGTAGTCCCCAAACTGTGGAGGTAGGGCAAATCAAGGGGAGTGGCTGGATTGTGCAACATTCCCTGGGAGCCAGGAAGCTATTGATCCAGAACTGGATGTCTTCTTGGGTCAGCATGACCAAATGCCATACTCCAGCCCACTTATAATATTAGTTCTAAAATAACATTATACTTTCTCACAGTTCTTCAGAAGTCTTCAGTATCTTGTATTCATCTCCTCTACGTATGTAAAGAAATGAATACCTGACTGAAGCACCAGAGCAAATCCTCTTCCCTCATTCATAAACCTGGACATGGGGTGAAGATTTCTCAGACCACCTTTGAAAAAGAGTTCTCTTCTTTAGACTTTCTGTCTCTGTAGTGTCTCTCTTTACTCTTTTATGCATTTGGGAGGTCTCATTCTTCGGGTTCAAAGAGCATTCATTGTCCATAGTGAGATAAAACTGAAAGAAAGGGAAGGGAGGTGACATGATGGAGAGACTAAGGTGATGGAGAAGAGGGGAGGAAGAGGTAAAAGCAGAAAGTAATAGGTGTTCTATAATTTCTCCCCTTTCTCTTAATACTTCCTATTTTTCCTCCCTTCATTTTCCATACTTCCTTCCTCTCCCAATAGTTTAATATGTAGGTTGTAGGTTTTATTTAACAATTATGTTAAGAGCCAAAGGTGTGGAAAGAGTTGCCATTAATAAGATAGTTCGTTACAGTTTCCAAAAGGAGTGGGTACATCTTGCCAGGCAGGGCCACATGGGAAACACCAGGGTTGGCTTGGAGAAGAAGCAGTGAGGAAAGAGCATGAATAAAGGCCTTTATTGTGGTTTTCATAGAAAGAAATAGGCATGGCAAGAAGGCTCAGAATTGGCTAGTTTGAATAATTTCATCAGACTCTCGGGTGTAGGAGCTGTTTTGAGTTGTCTGGCACCTGGTCTTAAGTTGATTAGGGCAGGGGAAAACTGGCATGGCACGTGAGAGTTCCATAAGAGAGGTAGTTGTGGGTGTAGGCTTGGGATTGATATTGGCTTGCAAAGGAATGTTGCACTCTTAGGGGAGTCCTTTGCTATTCTCCAGGAATCAGTCCAGGAGGGGCAGGCTGTTCTGATTATCTGAGGCTCCAGATACTGGAGTATCAAGAATATAAAAAATTTTTAAAAGATTATTAATACAATCTTCAACCTGAGTCTGCACTGGGTCTCCAAATCACCGTGGCAGCACTCTCTTCCCACATCTACAGAGGATCAAGGAGATAGGGCAGGAGAGGGAGGAGCAAAGTAGGTCACAGGCCCTCTTCCTCCCTCCTCCTCTTGGACTAGGGTGGAAAGCACAATGAAACAATTTGGGCTCCCCTGTTGAAACTTCCAGGATACTGCTATGTCTAATATGGCAAAGCAACAGCAACATTTCAGGCTTTGAGGAACACAGTGCCCTGCTTGCCTCCTCCTATCTTCATCCCAGGAGCATTGTTTCAGGATTCTAGGCTGGCTCTGCCATTAGTTGACTATGTGATCCTGGACTTGTCACTTCTCTGGTCCTCTGGTTTTCTTGCACCCGGACTTGTTCCAGGTAGGGTTTGACTCCCTTGGCTGCTAGTCCCTGTTGCAGAACTCTCTCCCAGGGACCTCTGTCACCCACCCAACATGCAGGTCCCAACTGTGTGTATGCTTGTCAACTGAATGCGTCCATTCACTGAGAAGAGGAAGAAGGGGACCCCAGGGCTATTCCCTGGATGTGGGAGAAGGCAGTGCTGGTGTTTGTCTCCTGAGGTTGGGGTGTTTTCTTGGAAAGCTTCCCCTTTAAGGACAGGTGGATGGGATCAAAGTAGTTTTCCAATTTATCATCAACACTGATCAACATTTGATTTCCAATGTCCCTGTTTCCCTGAACACACACTCACAAATTTTCCTACTGCTACCTTCTCTACTTTTCCTCTATTGTTTAACCCCAAATGACACTTCTTTTCCTGTTACTGCTCAGGTTTTCATTTCTCAGTGTTCTCTGAGATGTGGTCCTGGACTTTGGATAATAGTCTTTTATCAGTTATGTAGTTTACAAAGATTTTCTTGCAATTTTTGGCTTCACTTCTCATTATCCTGAAGGTAGTCTTTTTTTTTTAAAGTTTTATTTATTTATGCATATAGAACTGGGGTACAGGCCAGAGATGCAGGATTCACCAGAGACAGAGTGGGGAGCAGAACAGGCCAACTGACGAAGTACACTGCTGAGGGGAGCAGTGGGAAGTTCAGGGAGGTATGCTGCACCATGTGGATCACCTCCGAGGTGGGGATCGAACTCATGATGTAGTGGCTTTAGGTTTTAGTGCTGTGCTTTAACCCGCTGCACCACTGGGGAGAGCTTAAAGATAGCTTTTTAAACAAACAATGCTATAGCAATTTGCCATCCTTAGACACAAACTACACCACACACACATACACTCTTTGATCTAAGATCATATCTTATACAAAAATTAACTCAAAATACATAATATACTTAAATGTAAAGTGTAAAACTCTAAAACTTTCAGAAAAAAAAAACAGACAATTTTAGAGATCTAGCATTAGAAGAAGAATTCTTAGATTCAACACCAAAAGTGTTACAGGAACCCAGCCACCTCAGAGGTGGGAACTGGCAGGAGCAGTGGTTCTTTGCCCTGCTGATCCACCACAAGTCAGTTGTAAGCCACTTAAGAGCTCATTAACTGCCATTTTGTTAATTGTGACAGTTGCTCCTCAGAGACATTTTATGTATCAGCTTATTTCCTGGATTGTGGGATGGACCAATCGGGTGTGAGCTATGAGCTGATTGGTGCTAAATAGTCCAGTCAGTTATAAGATTGAAAATGGTCCAATCAGACTTGTGAGTGGGGCACCCTAAAAGAGAATATACTCCAGGGTCAGTAGAAACTGAGAGGGAGATGATGTCGGTCCCTGGAGGAAAGAGATGACACCAGTGCTAGAACAAGAGAGGCAAATCCAGCATCCATAGGAAAAAGGAAGAAGGAGAAGACTCCACTCCTGGCCTCCAAAGAACGAAGAAAAGAAGCATCCAATAGCTGACCTCCAAGTAGGGAAGAGAAAGCCAAGACCTCTGTCAGAGACTGGGCCTCCATTCCTGTCTCTGACACTGCCTGAAAGGAGCACCAAAGGCGCTGAGTGTGGTGTCTGAAAGAGTTGTTTATTGTTGGTGTGGCCCAACAACTCACAAAGAGCTGCTAACACTGGGTGTCTCTGACATTGCTTCTGAGGGACCAGCAGTGACCATTACTGGACAGCCAGTAGTTCTGGTAACTGGTGGTGACTACAGTGAGCTCTTTGTTTCCCCTGTTTGTAAGGTAAAGCCCATGGTGGTTGTTCCTGGAGCCCAAGGTCTCTTGCAATTGTGTGTATGCATGGGAACCCACAGACAGTGACCTGTCCTCTTATCAGGCACTGTCCTTTGTTAGACTCTAGCCCATCGGCCTTTGTTGTGTGGGTGTTGTATTGCTTCAGCCCTTGGTTTTGGTTTTTGGTCTTTGGGCCTTTTGGGGCTTTTTGGAAGCTCTTCTGTCTCAAAGTCTGGGCAGGTGG